GTTATTGGGTCATATGATTTAAAAATTCGAAACAATTTCAGTCCTTTGCAGACTAAAAATTGCAACAAAATTTTAAATTATAGGACTTAAATTGCTAGTAAAAAATTTTTTTTGATTGATTTTTTATTAGCAATTTAAGTTTTTGTAATTTTAAATTTTTGTTTGAATTTCAATCCCAAATGACTGAAGTTGCAGCAAAATACTAAACTACAGGATCAAAAAGCAAAAAGTTGAAATTTTGGGACTAAAAATAATGTGACATTAAACCAACATGATTAAAAATATAATTTTTTGTCTATATTTAATTATCATGCGAGACTAATTAAATTAAAAATTTAAATAATAAATCACACCTCATCTTCACTAAATCTGCCTGCAGTACAGATTCGATCAAAGAGCTCTCCACCAGCTGCGTACTCCATCACTATTGCTAAATGTGTCGGTGTCAAAACCACCTGATCCATATGATTTTCATACACAAAAATATATAATAATTTCAAAAAAAAAATAATAATAATAATAAAATAAATAAATAAAAAATAAAATGTACCCAGCTAAATAAATAAAAAAAAAAAACCTCTTTGAAACGAATTATATTGGGATGGCGAAGTGATCTGTGGTTTATAATTTCCCTAGCTACGTTTTCATCAATCTGCGACGACACAACACAATAATTAAAACTCGATTTATCAGTACAAAACAAACAAAGTCCGTCGAGATTTGTAACTGTTAGATCATCATGTGACCGTCGTGGATAGTTGATTTAACGGTTACAAACTCCGGCAAAATAGTTCCGTAACGGAACTGTAGAATCTCCACCAAAAGAAAATATGAAAAGGAAAACTAAACAAATTGAATTATATACCTTGTGTCCACGTTCAATGTATTTCATGGCGACAAGTTGTTTGGTTTCTTTGTGCCTTAAGAGCCTGGCTACACCAAAATTGCCAGCACCCAAATCTTTTACCACCTCGTACTTGTCCATTTTTTCTCTAACAATAACTTGCTTCTTGTTCTCTTTGCTTTCCTATAGGCTGTCTTTATATAATAATCTCAATTTATTTCTTTATTAATTTTGGTGTGTGTGTGCGTGAAAATATATTATATATATTTTGATATATTATAGGGATATGCTACCGTCCCGTTATAGTACCATCCCGTCGGTTGTTTTAACCGTTGGATCCACGTGTAGTTAGATAAGATAGATGATCCAACGGTTAAAACACCCGACGGGATGGTACCGGACAGTATCATTTCGCTATATTATATACACAAATTAATACTATAAGCCACCGACATTGTTCCCTGAGGTGTAGCACACATGTGGGCCCTCGATCGGGCAGTCCATCTATTTTTTATATATAAATAAATTGAGAGTATAGAGTATTGTTTATTTTTAGTGAGAGTGATGATTGAAATCGCTCAAAAGGATTTTTTTTTTGTTAATTAAAATTAATTTTAAATAGTTGGTGTAATTATTTATTAGTGAAATTTTAAATTTATATTAATATGATATTTAAGTTAAAATATTAAAATCAATTTGATGTAAAAATAGAAGAAATTTTTAAAAATAAATACACTTTTATCTATACTAAATTAAATTCATATCATTTAAATTTAGACATTTCGTGCCAAAATAACATCGCCCTCATTTTGTAATACTCAACTATTATTTTATTTTAAAATTTAGTGTCATATGATATTATTAAAATAATTTTATAAATTAACTACCCAATTTTATTATATGTAAATGTTTGATATTTCTAACAAACAAAATTTTATACTCTAATAGCTTGCGCAACACAAATTTTCACTTACACTGCGTAGTATAAGAGCCAAACACGACAAATTATGTTATAAATATTTTAAAACACTAAAAGGAATATAATTTCATATATGGAATATTTCACCTAAGTGATTTTAATTCCAATAAATATGGAATGTTGCGGTTGTGGATATATGAAGGGATGATCTTTATTTATATTGAAATTAAAAGACAAATTTGTTTCCATAAAGTGAAAATTACCTAAAAATAAAATTTTAAAATTAAAGCTCTACTGAGTTCATGACTACTTCTCGAGGAAACTTAATTAAACACATTTAAATACTCATACAGAACAATGTATAAGTGATTTTTAATAATATAAACATCATTTAAGACCAAAATTTGATTTTTAAATGTTTGTTGGAATTTGTACTGAAGATGCGATAAGGTACTAAACTACCATTTAATGTGTACTGTCTAACTCTAGGAGTGGTACTACTTTGACAAACATTGACCAAAATTAAAGTAATTCATATTGGTTGACCAAAGTAGGTATTAATTGATTAAAAACAGGTACTTAACATTATTGGTACTATTTTTAGGAAAACATGTACCATTTTACTAAGAGTGATTTTATTAATCCGTCACGTCTACCATGTCACGTGGATCGTTTACGCATGATTTTGTTGAAAACCTAACGAATTTAAAAAATATAGGTGGAATGTAGACTAGTTATGTGTGTTCGATGAGATGAAGTGTATCATTTAATGAAATGAAGTGCATTAATAGTGTTTGTTCATTAGCGTGTTGAGTTCGTAACCCATTTGTGATGGAACTGAATTAAACACATTCTAAATTTTATAGAAACTAATGGACGAGTGATTTTGAGTCATATAACATCATTTAAGACCGAACTTTGGTGTTTTTTTTTCATATTCTTTGGAGTTGGTACTGAAGACCCGATATTTGGTACTAAAACACCATTTAATGAGTATTATCTAACTCTAGGGCTAGTACTAATTTCACAAATGTTGACCAAAATTGAATAATCCATTTTCGTTGAGTAAAGTAGGTACTAACTGATTAAAAACATGTACTGCATAGATGAACTATCAGTACTATTTGTTGTAAAACTGGAAACATTTTACTAAGCGATTTCTTTAATCTGTCATGTCTATCATGTCACGTGGATCGTTCACGCATGATATGGTTGAAAAATAATCGAATTTTAAACATATAGGTAGAATTTAGAGTAGTCATGTATGATCAAATAAGATGAAGTGTATCATTCACTGAGATGAAGTGTATTGGTAGTGTTTGTTCATTAGTGTGTTGAGTTCGTGACTAGTTTGCGATTAAACTTAATTAAACGTATTTTAAATCTCATAGAAACTAATGTGAGAGTGATAATGGGTCATATAAACATATTTTGAGACCGAAATTTGATGTATTTTTATGTTCGTCGGAGTTGGTACTAAAGACCCAATATCTGGTACTAAAACACAAAAGCTGGTACTATCTTACTCTAGGTCTGATACCAATTTTAGCAAATATTGACCAAATTTGAAGTAATCTATTTTTGTTGACCAAAAGTAGGTACTAATTGATTAAAAACAGGTACTACACAGAAGAAGAAAAAGTGGAAGTATTCTGTCAAAACTAGTACCATTTTAGTAATCGTGATTTCTTTAATCCTCCATGCCTACCAAGTCAGGTGGATCGTTCACGCGTGGTTTGGTTGAGAAATAGTGGATGTTAAAACATATAGGTAGAATTTGGAGTAGTCATGTGTGATCATTCAATGAGATGAAGTGTGTCATTTAATGAGATGAAGTGTATTAGTAGTGTTTTTTCATTAGTGTATTGGGTTCGTGACCAATTTGTGATTAAACTTAATTAAACACATTTTAATCTCATAGAAACTAATTAATGTGAGAGTGATATGTGTCATATAAACATCATTTGAGACCGAAATTCAGTGTTTATGTTCGTCGGAGTTGGTACCAAAGACCCGATACTGGTACTAAAACACCATAAAGCTGGTACTATCTTAATCTAGGTCTAGTACTAATTTTGAAAATATTGTCCAAATTTGAAGTAATCCACTTTTTTTTCTTTCTACAAAGTAGGTACTAATTGATCAGTAACCGGTACCGCTAGAAGAAAAAGCGTACTTTTTGTGGAAAAACAGGTACCATTTTACGAAATTTATTTTATTTATTTTATTTTATGTTCGTCGGAGTTGGTACTGAATACCCGATATCCGGTACTAGAACACCATATGCAGTACTATTTTACTCGTCTGGTACTAATATTGAAAATGTTGAGCAAAATTCAAGTAATCCATTTTTTGTTCTTTCTACAGAGTAGATACTAATTTATCAAGAACTGGTATTGCATAGAATAAGAAGTGGTATTATTTTTGAAAAAGCTAGTACTATTTTACGAAATTCGATTTTTGTATTATGTTCGTTGGAGATAGTACTGAAGCCTGATATCTGGTACTAAAATACCATTTAATGAGTACTATCTAACTTTAGGACTGATAGTAATTTTACAAATGTTGATAAAAATTGAATAATCCATTTTCGTTGACCAAAATTGAATAATCTATTTTACAAATATATTAGTAATGTATTAGTAGTGTTTGTTCATTAGTGTGTTGAGTTCATGACCAATTTGCTACGAACTTCATTTAACACATTCTAAATCTCATAGAAACTAATGTGCGAATGATTTTGAGTCATATAAACATCACTTAAGACCGAAAATCAATGTTTTTTATGTTCGTGGAAGTGGGTATTGAATACCCGATATCTGGTACTAAAATACCATTTAATGAGTAGTATCTAACTCTAAGGTTGGTACTAATTTCATAAATGTTGACAAAAATTGAAGTAATCCATTTTCATTGACCAAAGTAGGTTACTAATTGATAAAATACAGCTACTTCCTAGAAGAACTATTGGTACAATTTGTAATCAAATTGGTACCATTTTACTAAAAATAACTTAAAACTTTCACATCATTTTTTTCTACAAAGTAAGTACTAACTACTACTCAAATGAGTACAAATATTGCATAAGATTGGTACTAATGTGAAGAAAACTGGTATCAGTTTCTAAAACATAACATTCTTAAAACATTCACATCATTTTTTTTTTCTTTCTACAAAGTAGACACTAAGTACTGCAATATTCAATAAAGATACAACTAATAACACACGTCGGGCACCGCATACCTGAGCATAATATAACGTGGTCCGACAAATACTAGGCGTTGCTTACCCAGACAATATAATCGCGGACGCTAATTAAAATAAAATAAACTATTTAATTTATTTTAATTAGACAAATCGGAGCAAATAATCTAATTATCATGCATTTTTAACATTTCTCACATAAAATACATACTATAAGTAATCTAATTACTCATGTATATATTCAAAATACATACTATTAAATAATCTAATTACTCATGTATGTATTTGAAATACATACTATTAGATAATCTAATTACTCATGCATTTATGTGGTTCTAAACACACATATCAGTGATGTATTCAAAATACATAAGCCAAGGAAATTCATGATCAAAATGAAGTGTCAACACATTCATCAAAATTTCTAAAATTTTGATTTGCTAAACAAGTTCGAAGCTTCATTTTGTTCATTAAGTATTTCAAAAAAATTTAAGAATCGTTGGACAATAGTTCTTAGTTTGAAATATAACCCAAGGGTTGATATCATCAATTTTAGGAATTTTTTAGAAATTTGAAACAAGTAAAAATAAACATTATTTAAGATTTATCAAATCAGCCAAACAGACCCTTACCAGTTTGAAAAATAACAAGCATGCCTCAGGCTCTTTTTAAAAATTATTAACATCCCCCAGGTCAGTTTTGAACATTAAATATAGGCCTAAGGACCAAATTGCAGTTTCTTAAAACTATTCAAAATCGCAGATTTGCCCCAAGGGTCAAATTGCAATAAACAATACTTTCTGAAATTGCAAATCTACCCTTAACATTCATCAAATTTTCAAACAGCAGGTCCATTGCCCTAAATTTCTTTCTCCTGTCTGATTATCGCCTACCCGCCGCCGTCTTAGGCCTCCGTCAAATTGCGACTTCCCAGGGCGGCGTGCACACCACCGTCGACCTTCCTTGACGTATCAAACAGCAGACGAGGTCCACTTTTTTTTTTTTAACATGAGCTCGAAGCTCCATTATTAGCGTCTCGACATCGCCACTCGCATCCAAGCGCAAGCGGCCAGAGAGATGCACTTCACGCGACGAGGGCCGCCATCGGCCGTAGCATCCACGCGACGGGGCCGCCCAGCGGGAGCAGCGGTTGGCCGCGCGAAACCAGTCGGCCAGTTAGTTGCGATAATCTGTTGGATATTTTGTGTAAAATTACACGGGAATCCTACGAACTGATATGTATTTTCAGTTCTTACAAATAATCTAAAAATAGAAAATTACAGTTGAACTGAAAAATAAATTACAACTGAAAAACGGAAAGATTTTATAGCCGAGGCGAGTAAAACTCTTTCCGCAAGAAGAATACGCCCCGTGTGGCAGCTAACGGTTCAGGCGTAACTTCCCCAAAGATACAACGGCAAACGTCTCTAAATCTGTAGCACACCAGATTTACGAGCTCCGGTGAACGGGAACGGAATCGAAAATTGAGCACTAAAAATAAAAGGAAATATCATAAAACAAATAAAAATATTATTTGTTTCTTCTCTTTTGATATTTTTATGTCCGATAATTGAACATAAATCTATCTTTTCTATCCCTTTATCTTTCTATTTTTCTTCCACTTTTTCCTTTCTTTTTGTCTTTCCTTTTCTCTCAAATCTGTCCGATTTTTTTTTTTTTTTTTTTTTTTT